TCTCCAGCAAGTTCATAATTTCATTCAGTTAAGTAAAAGATTCTGCATTTCCTAATCTTCAACCAATATCACCAGCACTGAGGTGTAATTATCTCTCATATAAAAATGTTAAGTTAATTTCAAAATAACAAAATTACTATGTTTCATTTTATTTTTATTGTACAATTTTTGTTTATATAATGTTTTTTTTTCGGGAGAGGGGTAATATAGGCGAAAGCCTGTTCCCCAATCCTTTTCTATATGAATAAAATATTGTTTACAAAAAAAAAACGCCTTCAAATTTTAGCTTGTAAACATTCTAGAAGGGACAATTCTTGACGGATTTTAACGAAATGTGGCTTGAGTGTTGGTTATCACCCAAGGATGAACCCTATTGAAAATCAGAAGAATCTAAAAATATTGAGTATGAATTATTGCCCTTATTCTTGAAAACGCGTTCAATTTTTAGCTTGTAAACACTCTAGAAGGCACAATTCTTGACGAATTTTAACGAAATTTGGCTTGAGTGTTTGTTATGGATAAAGCCTATTGAAAATCAGCAAAATCGAAAAATATTTAGTATGAGTTATTGCCTTTGACCTTGAAAATTCGTTCAATTTATAGCTCATAAAAACTCTAGAAGGCATGATTCTTGGTTTTATTATTCATTATTGCACTGAAGATTGAATATTTGACTTCTAGAGTTTTCACGAGCTAAAGATAGAACACGTTTTCAAGGACTAGGGCAATAACTCATACTCGATATTATTCAGTATCGCCCTAAAGAGTTCAAAAGAAGTGTATGACTGAAGGTTAAATATTTCATACTGGTGATTATTACTGTTCAAAATCAAATCTGCCAGTGAGCGTATATTACCTTGACTGGCAAGCTATCTTTCTTTAAATGATTTATGCATCCTTGATATAGCTCATCAACTATTGAGATTTCGGGGAAGGGAGGGTTTGATTCTCCCAAATGTACTTTATTTATAAATTGGGATTAAGGGTCTTGATATTGGGTTTTCTTCTGTTCTGATTCTGATCTGAAATAACTAAGTAAGAAATAAGAAAAAATAAGAAAAAATAACTCGTAAGTATCTGTTATGTACTGATTGTTTTTAGTTTACTATGAACAATAATATTATCATTTAAGTTCTTATTTTTTGAATGTGCAACTATCATTTTCTGCTCATAGACATGGGGGAATTTCTCTTGAAGGTTTATTATCGCCCATGGATGAACCCTATCAAAAATCAAAAAAATCGAAATATGTTTCATAGGGGTTATTGACCCCTTTCTTGTAAACGCTTTCAAATTGTAGCTCTTAAACAATAAAAGGCATGATTCTTGCTGGATTTTGACAAAACTTGGTTTTATTATTCAGTACCGCGCTGAAGATTAAATATTTGCCTTCTAGAGTTATCAGGAGCTAAAAATTGAACACGTTATCATGAACAAGGGCAATAACTCATACTCAATATTATTCAGTATCGCCCTAAAGAGTTCAAAAGAAGTGTATGACTGAATATTTCATACTGGTGATACAGGCGTGTCTTTCTTTAATTTGATATCCGACATGTGAGCAGTAAAACGAGTTCGTAAATTATTCTTAGTATCTCTTACATATTGTTTGGGGCATTTCTTGCAGGAAATAAAATATATTAAATTCGGATGTTCATATGTTACATGTTCCTCGATCGGGTACCTTTTATTCGTTACTTACAAAATAATGAGTTTCTGATATAAAGGGACATGTTTTGCATCTACTAGCCTAACATGGAGCACTCCTTAAACTTCGGCATAAAGCCTGTTTTAGCTGCTATCTGTGCTAACGTCGAAATTTTTATGTTTCGTAAAAATCGTTTAGTGTACACACGCTTTTTCAGTTTTGAGAAAACAATCGTACAGGCTTGGTTGAAATCAGAAGATCTTGTGCAAATTCGGTGAAATCGTAAAACTTGTGACTTAATTATACCAGAAAAGGTATGTTTTGGGTGAAAGGAGCTCTTGTGCAAGAGTTGATGAGTATCAGTTTCTTTGAAATACACTTTAATATCCAGTTCATTTGTTTCTGCTATGGAATCTCCCTTAAATACAGTGGTATCGAGAAAGTCTATGCTTTTGTCACTCACGTTTGCGGTAAGTTTGATGGAAGGATGGTGGTTGTTGAGAATTTCAAAGAATTCCCTAAACTGTTCGATAGAATAAGTCCAAACCATAAAAATGTCATCCAAAAAGCTTCCGTAAAAAAAGTGGGTCAAATGGGCAGAGGGGCAACACCTCGCGTTCCCACTCTGCGATAAAAAGGTTTGCGTACGTAGGGGCGAATCGTTTGTTCATAGCTGTCCCTGAAGTTTGTAAATATGTTTTACCATTAAATGTGAGATCGTTTCGACTGGGACAAATCTCTGAAAGCTGTAGAATTGCATCATCGGGTTTGTTTGGATCTGGGTTCGTCAACTATTCGCAGTAAGTTCATTTGATGAAACCAACAGTAATAATTAGATAAATATATAACCGCAAACAAATAAAAAACAAAGATATTGCCATTATCTACATCACTATTGTCATGGGCACAAGATTCATGAAATCAGTCCAAACAGCCAAAGCAAGATATCCACTCTTCCTGGAGTTTTTCGTCGTTCGGATCACCATAATTAATATGCCAAATCTTACATGGGTATTCATCAATTGAGAACTTTTCTTGAACGACTGCTTTCATTCTTTGATTGCCTTAGTTGGATTTTTGTTTCAGTAGGTTGGTTGATAAAATGTGCACACTATTACTGGCTGAACTTTTGTATAACTTAGAACTTATCCTTCCATCAGTCACACACTCAGCAAAGTGAATGTTCAATGTTCCAGGGATAGTTGGCAAATCTATCCATAAATCACCAATCTTAAGTAGTGTGTACACATCTTTGATATCACCAGTGGTCAAAATATGGCATTCAATGAATGTATTGAAGATACCAAAGCATCTCGAAAGCTAACAGCATCTTTTACAATACGGTGTCTATCTATAACTTTCCTGTGTACCATTGCTTTTACATTTCCACCTAGAGCGTCATTTGGACACTTCCCATGGCTGGTAGCAAAGAAAGTCCACGTCATTCTAAGTTTGTAGAATGAATGAAGAGCAGTCAACAGAGAAAAATATATCTATTGTGCCATTACAACAATAAATTTGAACTGTTGAAAAATCTGATCAGAGTTTATTGAAGACAAATGATTTAACTTTTTCATAAAATATAATAAACCATATCCGAGTAAATGCCGCCATCTTGTTTGGGTAGCAAAGTGGACTTTGACCGCTATGATATTACGTCATCGGTACAGCGATCAAACAGTAACAAAGGATAGTCGGTAGGTCTAGGTGTAGTTGGCGCGAACTTGTTTCTAGTTCTAGAACACTGATTGTTACAACAAATATATTTTATACTTGTAAGGATATTCCAATTCATAGAACTTTATGAATTTTATAGTAATCGAAGAAGTTAATTAGTTTTCTTTTCTTCTTTTCGTAGAAAAGCCTAGCCTACTCGGTGTAAACAAAACGCGTCTAAGCCTAGGAAAAATGGCAACTCATTCGAAAACTTATCAGGACTTTTTGGAAATGGGGATGAGTCAATTGAAGGATTTTTTAACTGTTAGAGGCATATCTATAAGTGGTTATTGTAAGGTAGAACTGGTTGCCAGGGCTTTTTCAGCTGCAGAAATGGGAATGCCAATAATTCTTTCCAGCGAAGAACAAGCCATTTTAATTTGCCCGATCCCAAAACAATCCCAAACGAAGATAAGAAAGATGATTTGTCCTCTTGGCCTTCAACAACATTGGGTAACATATTTGAGTTTATTCTGAGTGTTTTAACATGGAGTACATTGGCAAATACAAAGATCAAAAGGCCTACAGTTATTTTGACAGTAATTTTGTTAGGAAAATTTTATTTCATAAGCCAAATAAGAATATTATCCTGTTATTTTCCAAATGTCCATCCATGATGAGAAAGAGCTATGGATTGCTGTTCAGCCTGACGGAAAAATTCTAACTGCCTGGTGCTCTTGCATGGCTGGTGCAAGCCGGTGCTGCAATCACATTATGGCAGCTTTGTACAAAGTTGAATATGCCAACAACAATGGATTTACATCACCATCTTGTACGTCAGTTCCATGTATATGGAACCAATCAACAAAGAGTGCCAAAGAAAATATTGTGGTCAGAAAAAAAATTCGGTCAAAAATTCCTGATAACAGTGGAGATGATGTTCGTAGAGAGGAAATTAGAATGGGTGAACTCAGTTCTTTCTACCCAAGACAGACTCCACATCGTACCATGACAGGCGACCGCTTTACTACTCTTCTTAAGAACATAGCAATATCAAATCCTAATGCTGTTTAAATCAGGTGAAGGTATGTCTATCCCCTCATTTGCAAAGTTATCAGTGTCTGGTATTGTAAATGACATTATACGAAAAGATCTAAAAGATTCAAACGAAGACAAGATAACCATTCTGTTGCAAAGATTGTGTTTTTCTGCAGAGGATGTAGCCAGCATTGAAAAAATGACACGTGGACAGGTTGATACAGTTTCATGGATTGAACATCGAAAGGGTCGGTTAACAGCTTCACAACACCATGAATACTACACGAAGGTTAATGCAATTGCTCATGTCAAAGGTGCGTTATATCCCAAAATAACACCCCTTGCAGCCGATATCATTCTGAACCATTTGGAGAAAGTGGATGCAGTAAGATGGGGCAAAGATCATGAGAAAGAGGCCCTTAAAGCATTTTATGCACATGAAGCTACCAAGCATGATAAATTTAAGTTGGAAAGTGCAGGGTTATTTGTGGACAAAGATCGAGCCTACATAGGAGCGTCACCTGATAGTGTTGTGTACTGCAAGTGTCATGGCAAAAGTGTTATTGAAATTAAATGCCCATACAACATAAGAAGTGAAAATGTTACAGAAAACTTTCAGAAATGTGTATTTAATGATTTTGAATAAGAGCCACAAATACTATACTCAAATAACATCACAAATTGCTCTTTCTAATTCATTGCAAGATTTTTTCGCAGTTTGGACAACAAAAGAAATTTTTGTGGCCTTGATTGAAAAGGACGATCTTTTATGGCAGAAAGTTTCATTAAACTTGGAAATATTTTTTAAGAGTTACGTCACAAAAGCCCTTCTTGCCATAACTCCCCTGGAGTTTTGTGGACATTGTGACAAAATATTACTTGACTATTTTGTTGGTCTCCATAATATCAGCAGTGGTCATTTGTGTGCCACTTGCTGCACTGGGGGGAATTGCCAGGTAACACCTTCGCATAACGAGGTCAGACTTCATTTTGAATCCCCTGTCTGCCATAAGTGTCATAAGGATCTAATATGTCCAAAAAACCAGAATTTCTAACAATGTGTAAATCACTGGTGCGACCGCCAAAACAAGGTGATATCCACGAGATAGCTCCATTAGGAGTTATTGCAACTAAAAACTTAAAAGTGCAATGATGCTTGTAGTCGCTCCACAAACGAGCCTGTGCCTTAAGTGAACTTGGCGTTTCCACAAAAACTTCAGAACAATTATCGTCCTTGTCTTAGGATATAGCCGCTTAAATGCATCGGGCAATGTTGCAACTATTTGACCTTTAGAAGGCCAAAAATAAGGTGCCGTAACTCCTTTGATAAGAGTTTTATCCAAGTGATCCAGATTTGCGAGACACGCGTGGTCGAGATTTGAAATCAGAATGCCAGGTCTCTTACAAACAACCCTAGTCGGAGACGCATTAAAACAAGAAGGAACTCTTGTTCAAGGCTAAGCTTCCTCTCGGGGCCCTTCCTATTAACAGGCAGGATATCCCCCTCTGGATAAACTGGTGACGATATGATTTCGTCCATTGTATGCTGGTATTTTGAAGATTTAGCCTCCTTGGACATCCTTTTAGGACCTTCCCAGTACCTCATAAGCTGACTTCTTGGCTTCAGATATAGAAAGATGGTTTGAAACGTTTCTGTTGATTCCAAACCAGTGAAAAAACGAACGTCTGTTTGCCTTGCTCGAACTGCATTGCCACAGGCAACACTGGTGTAAGATCATCATTGTTGATGTCATGGGATGGTACAGCAATTTCTTGAGTTGGATTGGGATTTCTTGCAGTCTGCTGTGCATCAGCAAAATGAGTAGAACAAATCCTACTGCCACTGCTTGGAATAAACCCAACTCTTCCTTTATGTACTAAAGCGGCCCATGTTTTCCTCTTTGTCTCATCACCTGTTGGAAATCTGTGGAATTTCAAAGAATTTAGGCCTACATGATCTTTGATGTCATAACGATCGAGATAACGAGTATCGTTGTCACAGATTCCAACACAGCATCTGTCATGTCTCACCATACTTTACCTAAAATTTAGAAGTCTGAGATATAGGCCCTACCTGCTAAACAACAGAGAGAGACAGGGTGGGAGACAGTCAGACAGAGTGGAAGTGAGACAGACAGCTTGGAAGTGAGACAAGACAGAGAGAGTGGGAGAGAGACAGACATATTGGGAGACAGTCAGACAGAGTGGGAGAGACAGAGTGGGAGTGAGTAACAGATAGGGTGGGAGGCAGACAGAGCGGAAAGACAGAGTGGGAGATAGTAAGGTATGGTAGGGTATTAAAACTGTACTAACTATTCAAAGAGAAAATGCGAAGCTCTAACAGTGAACATTTCACTTCTGGAAGTGTTTGATAATGAAAAGCGGTATCAGGGAACTGTCTAGAAAGAGGAATTTCACTCTTTCTCACATTTTTTAATGAAGAGAATAGGACATTTAGGATTTTCAGAATTTTTTTCTTATTCCATGTAGGCCTATGTCCTGTGTCGAATACATGATATATTTTAAATGTGAACGGATTTGAAAATTTACCAAAAAGACCTACCCGTCAAAAATTTAGTCTGCTACAAATAAGCCTAGGCCTATATAGGCCCTAATTAGTACAGTCAAGTAACCTAATTTCGTGGTAACCTATTTTTCGCGGATTTCCGGAAATGTTTAATAATTTACATGAGCGACCTCCGCATTTGCTTGTTTTGATAAACATGGGTTGTCTGCACAATATCAGCTAGTAGAATGAATCCAGTAGTTTCAAGCAAGGTAAAATGTATTACCGGTAATGTTTACTTTATATCACAAATTCCCAAAAAGGGGAAACCAATTAAAACTATATTATCGTCCTGTTATTCAGAAACACCCAAAATAGATCTCGATCACATCTTATTCCGTTATTTTACTAACTATTTAAAGTTTAGAATCAATTTTGCATGTCAATTTCCATGATTCTAAACTTTATAAGGATTCAACACCGAATTTCGTCAAAGTTAAGAAAAAGGAAAAAAAATTATGTCTTACAGGTTTCCTCAGATATTCTACCAAATTTCGATTTTCTTTATGAATCCTTCACTTTGACCCATATTTCATGAGCAACCAACTCGGCAACGGCGGCAGAATGCCTCACCTATTTTCGTGTACAATGTTTGATCTATAAATAAGTCTAGAAAAACACGTTGTATGGATACTGGGTGGTATAATTAACTTCTCTTAGTATTTATCTTTAATATCAATTCATTATAACTAGTGACAATTCCTTCAAAGAACCACGATTTAAAAAAAAAAATAGAGACTGACAAAATATGATACGTAGCATGATTTATTGCTAAAAGTCACTGAAACAACATAAGAATATGGTCCATTTTGTGTTCCACAGAAATTTTCTGCTGACACGGAATCCGCTAGTTGATCACGTGACTTCATTCGTTGGACTACATTCTAGCAGACGACACTTGGAATTCCGATTACCGCTTGGGATTATAAGGAAATTCGGCCGATAAAAAATGGTGACGTTTGGTAATAAGTGAAATCCGCCATTTTGTATTTGTCAAACTATACATTAATACATTTTACCTTGCTTGAAACTACTGGATTCATTCTACTAGCTGATATTGTAGAGAAAACCAATGTTTATTAAAACAAACTAATGCGGAGGTCACGCAAGGTCGCTCATGTAAATTATTAATCCTTTCCGGAAATCCACGAATAATAGGTTTCCACGAAATTAGGTTACTCGACAGTCGTCTGGGCCTATTTTCGACAAAGACGTGGGCCTAGTCCTATCAATATCATAATTTATTTTGAAATTTCTTAGAAATGAAGTGGGGCTCGAATTGGGGTTGCAATCTTTTTCTGGGGGTGCTAATACCTCAAACCCCCCTCCCATGTAGGCCTAACATCACTAGCGCCGCCACTGGTACAGTCACCACAGTGTTCATCAAAATTTTAGTTTATAAAATCTTTGTTATTTCCCTTAGTAACAACCCACGTGATTTTACGTGTGGTTGATCAAGTCAGGTTGTTATCATTAGAGTCTATGATTACGAAGACGAGACTCACTAGTTAGTGACTGTTCATTGTGTTCTTGTGGGATACGATTACGGCAAATGTAATGCTGTATATAACTAGTCGTTGCTAAATCTTTAATGCCAGTGGGCTGTTTAAATGAATATTAGTACCGGTATACATTTTTTTGTGTGTGATTATACTGTTATTACTGAGTGAATTATTTTCTACGTTACTCACAGGTAACAAAATGCCATGGAATATAGCAGTATTGTGGATTCTGTTCATCGCTTCTCATTACGGACCATTTATTTGTGTTATATCAAAGCGAACACCTAAACATTTAGAAATTTATTGGAACCAATCAAATCCAATGTAAGATTTTTTTAAACTTTCCATTGTACAGTACTCAAAAAAACAGAAAGAGATAATTTATTATGAGCTCATAATAATGGATATTTTCTCTTCTTTCACAACTGTTCTAAATAAAATTTTGGTGGCATATTATTTGTCTTGTCTTAAACTTCCAGTCCATAGAAACAATAACGTTTATTGATTTTACTTATAGTAGAGTAAACAAGTTTCCCTCAGAAGGATTTTATGTGAAAATGACCCACATTCAAATTTAGACATTTCTCAGGAAAATGGGTACAATTCACACAGTTTTTTTTAGCCTAAATGTTTGCTATAAGCCTAATTAATAAAAAATGTTAGTTATAATCATTTTTTTAATGCTACAGATAACATACAACTTAGCCTACATACAAAGAAGAATCTCACACTTTTTACCCATTTCACTCACTCTATTATATTTGATAAATAGGCAAAATTGTCATGATGTTCTGATCTTACATGGTACATAGCTATGGAAGGCAGATTGACTTTTTATTCCTTTGTTCTTCATAAGTATGTTTTAATTCTCAATTCCAAATTTGTAAGCTTATCTCTTAAATTTTCATTGAAAATTTTTGTGCTTTAAATACGTTCTTGGATAAACACTGAGTTTTCACATTTCTGAAATAATAAAATTGTTGCCAAAAATATCGTCAAATAGAAAACTGCAAACACAAATCTAGCTCAATATACTGGTATCCAAATCAACAAATGTACCGGTAGTGTCTTTAATCCTCTAACACAGTGTGACTTCTCCTACAGCTTATTTTGAGACTTTATAATCATATTCCCAAATTGAAAAAAAACCTGTTCATGACACTGGCTGCAATAACAAGTTGGAATGTTCTTATCAGGTATGACAATAAATAAATCACTAGAACTGTTCCCTTAGTAGTACTGATGCAACATAGGAAGATGGACATATTAAGGCAACACATGTGCACAACACAAATACAATATTCCTAAAAAATTCAGAATTAAGAGTAGTAACATGCCACAATATGTGTATTGTATTGCGACGTCGTGTGTCGATAATTGGTGATACCTCTTATTCCATAAAAGAGTGGGGATTTTTTTAAGTTTATGATATAAAAAATCTTTTCACTGAAATTGTTAGAATCTATTTTTAAGACAGTGGATGCTAACCACTTCTATCAACTATATTACCAAATATCACAATTATAAAGTTATGAATTAATAATATATAGAAACTTTGAAGATAAAATGTTAATTTTT